AACGAAGGACAAACAATAAAATTACTTGCTGATGTAAAGTGGAGCAGTTTTAAGCAATTAAAAATGAAGCAAGTTCAAGAAACCCTATTTCTCCTAGAAATTCTCCCTTTCCTTTCATCCATCTCTTTGCATTTAAACTGAGTTTGTAGGGACACAAAAGGCATCATTGCCTCAAATGATGATCGACTTCTAACCAGTTGTAGAGCAGCAGATACTGGTGAAGATGTGGGTTACCACATGCAGCCAAATGACATTATACCTACCAGATTTTCCAAGAATTTTAAAGGGATTCAGTTACTTTAAGAAATCTTTAGCCACAAGAAGTAGTAATTTAACCTTTTAAAGTAAGTGATAAAAATTTTACAGATGCCAGACATTGCTTCTCCCTATTGCTCTGGATTGATTGAAATGACATGTATGCAAAGCTATATCTAGACAATACTGAGTTATTTTGAACATAGTTGGGAATTTTTAAGGAGGGGGGGATTTATTATGGTAAAATTAAATTACAGTGCACCATTTTTATCCTGTATGATGGCCAAAGTGTCTCCATCTTTGTCCCATGCCATTCCAGTGCATTGTCTAGAACCAAAAAAAAAAAAAAATTAATACAAAGAGTACTTTCCATGTCTCATGATATCAGACCACAGCTGTACAATTGTACACAGTACATCCTAACTGAACAATAAGGAATATGGTGTACAGTGCAGCTCAGAGGGAAATGGCCAGGTGCCAACTCAACTCAACATTTTGCACCTAAAAGACACACATGCGACTCAATCAAAAAGTTGGCTAAATCAACTGGTGCCCAAACATCTAGTTTACTTTCATTCATGGCTAAAAAAATTTCTCTATTTTCATTAAAATTATACAGTCAAACTTGTATAAAACGGCACCGTATTAAGCAGTCACTCTGTATTAGGTGATCAGTTGCTGAAGTCCCAAAATTCCTTCCCCTCAAAAGAGAGTAATTCCCTCCTCTATTCAGCACATATTGGGCCACTTACCCCTGAGCTGTACTCTAGTTTCAACAGGTATTCCTAACAGTTTACCAGTACCACTGATAACCCAAAGTGGAAATCACTGCGATGTAATTATAGTAACTGTTCTTGCTAAGAACACAACACAGGCTACTGGGTCCAAATATAGACTTAAAGAGCTAACGGGGTTAAGCATCAATGCATTCGTTCTCCCTCATGCATTTGTGTTTAAAAACTGCTTACATTTGTTATAAAAACCACTTACCCTGGAAGGTTGATGTCATCTTTCTGTTCCCCATGACGGTCATAGATCATCACAATTCTGTTCGTTCTACAATCATTAACAAGAATGTATGTGATCATTTGTGATCATTACTTTCAATCAATTTTTGTTTTCAAGTTTAATTGATTTAAAGTGTCTTACCCAGCAACAGCTAAGTAATTCCCCTGCTTCTGTTGCCAGCAGTATTGGACTGTTCCACCTCCTGTCACCTTCTCAGGAACACTGAATACTCGCTGTAATGTCACAGACAATAAAATAACTAACAGGCGAGTCAAATTAGCTGACAGCCGAAAAAAAAAAAGAGATTCCAACTTAAGTTGAACATCTACACTAAATCATCCTCAGGGAAAGACAGAAGTAGCAGTTTAACTACCAGGAAAGTCAAATTAGTGAACAGCCTAAACAAAAAACCAACTTAAGTTGAACATCTTTATTAAATCATCCTTGGGGATAAAGTAGCAGTTATAGAAAGATGGCCATAATGAAGTGATACAATGGTTGAGGTGTAACGTAAAACCTGTTTTCTCGAAGGTTAAAGCTCTTTTATAGGAAAATTCATCAGTTACATGAGGAGAGAATTTCCACATTTTTATTACATCCATTTTGAAATCGCTGGTGGTCCCTGTAATCTGATTGGCTCTTTAGAATTGGTATGGTTTATTCCCAAATCACACCAGTTTTTGCTCTAAATCGCATCATTTTACCCTATACTGAGTTTTTGACACAATCATGACGTCAAAGTCTTTCTGTTTTGCATACAAAATAAGATGTAAAAATGTTTCCGGTTCCGCTTTTTATTTAAAAACCAGCTCAGTTCTGTATCAGTAAAATATTCGAATTGACCAAGTCCTGTATTCGGGCGATTTCAAAATGGATGTAATAAAGTGGTAATTGAACATCATGGCGTGTAATTTTGGTCTGAAATCATACTTGTGATTTCAAATCAAACTCATGCTGTGCGCTCGTTTGATTTTGAAATCATGCATATGATTTCAGCCCAAATTGCACTCCACTCAGTTCAATTACCATTAGAAATTGCACACGAAAACTGATATCACACAAATTGTGAAGCAATGAGTGTGATATCGGTTTTCAAGTGCACTTTAAAGCGCAATTCACAAGTCAAGCCATGGATTTTCCTTGAATCTCATAATTGAATATAAATAAGAAGAAAAAAAAGAAAACAGCATTATTTATAGTTATTATGTATACGTAGATGCGAAACAATATCACTTAGCCTCATTTTCAAATTGCAATTCCACACAAAGTACCTCGCTTTGTTAACTAATCAGAATGTGAGATTTTATTCAATGATGTGATTCAATTAAAAATAAACTTTAGAGCTGTATATAAATACGTAGCACAAATAAAAGGATGCTGACAAGAGAGAAACAAAATCTGATGTTCAAAAGAAATTTTTTGACAAACAAACCAAGCCGAAGCAAGTGATTAAATCAGTTTGGGCACAATTCACTCTTGCAGGCACTGAAGATAAATTATTTCCTCTTCAACAAAATAAGACAACAAGGGTCCTGTTAAAAATTCAAATGGCTTTTCAAATGTTTTCGTATTCATTTCTCAGTTGATGACACACTATTGAGAAAATGTAAGGGGACAGTTGGGCATGGTGGCCATTCCCATTGTGGAAAGATGGCTGTTTTGAAAGGTGATAAAATTAGACAGAAAGTTGGGAATAGTCACCAAGTTATAACAAAGTGACTGTCACAAAGAGGCTTACCGGTATTTCATGTTATCCCTT